CTCGACGGGCACCTCGCGCCGCGGCCGCTGCCGGCGGGCCCCCGCGGGCAGCATGAAGAAGGAGGTGTGCTCGGTGGCCTTCCTCAAGGCCGTGTTCGCTGAGTTCCTCGCCACCCTCATCTTCGTCTTCTTTGGCCTCGGCTCAGCTCTCAAGTGGCAGTCTGCGCTGCCCACCATCCTGCAGATCTCACTGGCTTTCGGTCTGGCAATAGGCACTCTGGCCCAGTCTTTGGGGCCCGTGAGTGGAGGCCACATAAACCCGGCCATCACCCTCGCCCTCCTGGTGGGCAACCAGATCTCCCTGCTCCGCGCCATCTTCTACGTGTCCGCCCAGCTGGTGGGCGCCATCGCGGGCGCCGGCATCCTCTACGGGCTGGCACCGGCCAGTGCACGGAGCAACCTGGCGGTCAACGCCGTGAGTGCCCGCGGGGCTGCGGGTGGGAGCCAGGACCCTGGTGGTGGTGGGCTCGGGGCCAGATCGTGCCCCATCTCTAGAATGGGTGACAGAGGGGTTCGATGCACACCCTCCCGAGGAAGGCCCAACACCTGGAAGATGAATCCCCAAGTCTTGCTTCTCGCTGCCCGCCTTCGTCTCCTGGGTCTATGCCACCCTCCTGAGCGCCCTCCCTCATGTCACCCCATCCTGATCTACCACCAGATGGTCCCCCTTCTTTCCTTCCACTGTTTACCTATTTCGCCTATGAATTCTGCCCCCCCTTTGGTCTCCCCTTCCACTGTTTACCTGTTTCACCTCTGAGTTCTGGTCCCCCCTCTGGTCTCCTCTCTGTTCTTCAGTGGTGCCCCATAATGGGAATTAGAAGTGAATTGTATTTGACTGTGGTTGACCTTGACTTCTCTGTGCCTCTTTTTCTCAACCATCCCAAAGTGAATGTGACTGGTTGCTGCAGAGTCAAGTCCAACATATCACAACCCAATGTGACAGGGTAAAGAACTGTCTCATGGGATTTTTCTAGGCTATAATCTTTACAGGAGCAGATAAGGCAAGTCTTTCTCCCTTGGAGCCACAGCGTGATTTCAAACCATCTGTTTTATGGTTTGCATCCAAGAGCTTAACCAGCTACACCACATGGCCAAACTAGCACTGCGAGTGTCAGGGGTTACATTTAGAACTCACAGCAGTGAATGCTCTAATGTGGTGCCAGGAACTAGGGAGTTTCTGTTGAATATTGACTCCTCTTCTCCCATCCTTGCCCTTCCTCCATGTTACCTCCCTCCACTCCAAGCCCCAGATTCAGCCCCAAGTTCCATGCAAACTGGGTTCATTAATCAAACACAGAGGAGGATTTTCTCAGCCATTGTCAAGCCATGAGTCAGCCACATCGGAGAGATGGGTTTGAGGTCAGGCACGGGCGGGAGGCCCAAGTGGGGGTGCAGTAGGCAGACTGGGCAGCTGCCCACAGGAGGGAGGGTGAAATGCCAGTTTGTGGGGGTTGGGGATCGAGTAGAACCGTTGAGAGGATGGTGTCCAGGAGAAGCTCCCCTCACACCTCACACCCTTCTCTTCAGCCACAAGCATGCACTTTATTTATTTAACTTTGTGTAAACTGTAAAGTGATTAGTGTCTTCTGCAAATGGCTCTCCTGAGGTGACACGTGCAGGGCTTGTGTGTGCTGATAATGTGGGGGTTTAGAATTTACAAATCCTATGCATTTGGACCATAAAAGATCTCCTTTGAGACCACAGACCACAGAGCCAGAAACAGAGTGGCTGTGGAGTCCTAACTCACTCTCCCCTGCAGCTCAACAACAACACGACGCCCGGCCAGGCCGTGGTGGTGGAGATGATCCTGACCTTCCAGCTGGCCCTCTGTATCTTTGCCTCCACTGACTCTCGCCGCACCAGTCCTGTGGGGTCCCCGGCCCTGTCCATTGGCCTGTCTGTCACACTGGGCCACCTTGTAGGGGTGAGCTGTTTTGTATTCTCAACTGGAAGTAGGAGGAAACAGGACAAATAAAAGGGACCCCAGGACATCCTCCCTGGCCAATGAGCCCAGCAGACTTTAATGCATCGATTTGAGGCCGCTGGTGTTTTAACACCTAGATTGGAGGCCCTAGTGGTCAGGCTTTATTTCTATCTTTACAAAAATAAAAAAAGAAGAAGAAAGAAAGAAAAAAGCTTATTGGCCTGGAAGAGAAAGTATGTGTGGGATAGGGTGGGAGTGGGAAACAGAATGAAAGCCTAGCTCAGGGCAGAGAAGAGGATGCAGGGTCAGGTGGAGGGTCGATAGTTAACTGGATAGACTGGTTCAGTGGAGGAAGTGATCGCCAGCCTAGGAAATGAGAGACTTTCATTTGAGACTTGGGCGATTCTTGGCCCCTATAAGTTGATGATGACCTTGTCTGCCCCCCTCCCCCCATTTTCTCTCCAGATCTACTTCACCGGCTGCTCCATGAACCCGGCCCGCTCCTTTGGACCCGCGGTTGTCATGAAGCGGTTTAGCCCTGTGCACTGGGTGAGCCTGGGCCCTACTCCTTCTCCTGAGAGATGCCTGGGCTTCCCAGATGTTTTGGCCCAGACCTTAGGAGTGGGGGTTGAGCCCCTGAGGACTGGAGCTTTGTGAGGGGGGACCTTTGTGTGTCTATCTTTCTGGTGAATGGGGTTTATACCTCTGTCAGTGTCCTATGAGGACTCTGTTTGTCCCTCTGGGATCTGTAGATCTGTACTCTGGTGTTTTATTTCTCTGTCCCTGCAGCATATTGGGAGAGTCTTCTAGCATGTCTGTCCCTTTGGAAAATCTGTCTCCTCCTTTGAGAGTTCATATCCTGTCTTAGAGTCTGTTTGTCTGCTTCTCTGAAGCTGTGCGTGTCTGAGGGTTCACTTGTCTCTCTGTGGATTGTGTTTGGAGGGGACTTGTTCCCCTGTGGGTTCTTATCCCCTGTGGTCCATGTCTCTGTCATGGGCAATAGTGGGTGGAGGTCAGCCTGTCTGCCCCCAAGGTGGAAATCTGTCTCGTTCTAGGCTCTTTGGGTCTTTCTCCTGGTCTGTGAGGCCTCGTCCCAGCGCCCTGACCATGGCTTTGTCTCCACCAGGTGTTCTGGGTGGGGCCCATCGTGGGGGCCATCGTGGCAGCCATCCTCTACTTCTACCTGCTCTTCCCCAAATCTTTAAGCCTGAGCGAGCGTGTGGCCGTGGTCAGGGGCACGTATCAGCCAGAGGAGGACTGGGAGGAGCATCGGGAGGAGCGGAAGAAGACTATGGAGCTGACCTCCCACTGAACTCCTTTCAGCTTCACGCAGGGGTCAGCCCCTCTGCTGAACCACAGGGGAGAAAAAGAAAAACATGGCAGCGAATCTTTCTTCCCCCACAGCCGGGCCCTCTTGGCTGGCGAAGAGGCGCTGGCTCCCAGGCTGCACATTTAGAACCGGAGCAGGGACCCGCGACAGGGCTCCTGGGGTGAAAGTGGAGGTCTGGCATGTGGAGGAGAATGGCCTCTACAGGTCAGGCCAACTGTGCTGCCATAAAGTCAGACCTCAAAGATCATGAACCAAGGGAGGAATTCTCAGGCTGCCCCAGGGCCATACCAGGAAGGGGTGGCCTGTACTCTGCTCCCCGGACCCACCCCAGCTCCTCCACAAGAGCCAGAAGAAGTGTCACAGCCCTTGTGACAGTAAAGGCAGGAGGGTCCTCCCCTGGAGTACACGAGGAGGAACCCAGACTGGTTCATAGAATGGTGCCTTATTTCTTTCTGGTCAAAGATGAGTGAGGCAGGTTTGCTGGTATCTGACTGAGATGCGGGCTTCCCAATAAATCACTGATACTCAAGTTCAATTCTCATCTCACCCCAGAAATTTCTTGAGTCATCTGGCTTGTCACCTCTCCTCTTCTTCATCCCACCCCTCACCACATTGTTTACAGGACACAAGCAAACCCCAGGACAAATTGTCTGTGGAAAGACCTTGAAGCTGAGGCCATTGGGAGGCCTACAAAATCAGAGGAATGGGACAGGGGCAGGGGAGCAGAGAAGGAGGGGTCCTGCCGTGTCACCCACTCAGTCACCTCACTCCTCCCATGTCAGCTATGTGCAGTCTTTGCCACTTGAGAGCCTGGAACAGCACTGGGGTGTGCCAGGCAGAGTGGAGGAGAAGTGGACCAGCCGGCAGCCTATTGAGATGCCAAGAAGGTGAGCAGCCAAGTTCTGTAATAGAGGAGGCACACCTGTTTTTGCACCTCACACCACTTAAGGTGTCATGTTGGAAGCCTGTGCTCAGAGGGAGAAGCTCTGCACACACACACGTGCACACACACATGCATGTACACACACACGTGCCAAAACCACCCTGGCCCACAGCTTTTGAGTCTCCTCTCTCCTGCCCATCACCCTCCCTTCCAGACCATGGCTACTGACATTCCCCAGACAAACTCCCTACACTCTCTGAGCCTCTTATCTCTTCATCTGTAAATTGGAAACAAAAATGCTTCCATCATCAAAAAGAAAAAGGCTTCCCTCACAGGTGCTTTGGACATCAGAGGAGTGAGAAGGCTAATGTCTGAGACAGGTCAACTCTCTGTGGACGAAAGGTTGGGAGCCTTAGACTTTAGGTCCTGCAAACAAGTAGCTCAGGACACAACACAGAATCATAGCTAAGCTTGGAGTCATAATCCAAGTTTAGATTTTGCTGTATGGCTTTGGTAACATTTATACGCTCCCTGAGCCTTGATCGCCTCATCTGTAAAGTGGAGTATTTTTACTTACCTCATGAATCTAGTGAGGATCAAACCAAATAGTGGATGTCAATAAAATGCTTGTGCAAATTGTCAGGCATCTCAGAGTGAGTGCTCAATAAACTAATGTGAAAAGAAACCGGCACATATGCCTGCCTCATCTGGAACTTCAGCCAGCCCTCACCACCGCTCTGGATCACCTTGATCCTATGCAACCCGCGATTATTGCTTTCTTTGGTCTCTAATTTTGCCTGAGAAAACCAGGGTAATCAGCAGACTCTGGCTTGTGACGGTCAGTCCTAGAGGCTAGAATCAAACGGATTCTAATTCCTGTCAGAGAAGAACAGCCCAATGTAGCTTACAGTTGACCATTATGTAGTAGATTGCCAGATCTTTCTTCCTAGGTACTCTGGGTGGACTCAAATGGCCAACATTTTGGTAAATAGCCAAGCACTTTAACCATTTATACCACCCAAAAAGACAAATACCAAACCCACTGCCATGAAACTCTTTCCGACTCATAGAGACCCTATAGAACTGCCTCAAAGGGCTTCTAAGGTTGTAAATTTTTGGAAGCCATCTGCACCATGGTCCCCCAGTATAGCTGGTTGACATTTGAGGGTTTTAACCACTGTGCCACCTGGGGTGGGGGGAATTTGTATATAAGAGCTCTTATCATCTGTATATGAGAGCCACCCTACTTGTTGTACAGAGCTGAACTGATTCCAGTGATCCTATATTCCATGGAAAACTGCCCCATAGTTTTCCAGGCTGGGTTAGAACAGATGTTCTGCGTAGCAGGCCTGGAGCCGCTGACCTTAACAAACAAGCAAACAAAAACCCAATTCCAATGCTATTGAGTTGATTCTAACTTACGGTTGGGCCCTGGAGGGCAGAATAGAACTGCCCCGTGGAGTTTCCAAGACGGTAAATCTTCATAGAAATAGACTGCCTCATTTTTCTCCAGCAAAAGAGCTCACAGCTGGTGGATTCATATCTCTGATAACGCCACCAGGGCTCCTTCTAATACGCTTAGTTAACACCAATTAACAATGGATGCAAGAACCGCAGGGTTTCCCTCCTCCCCACCCCCGCCCCCCAAAGGAGCTGACCGGTCCCTCTCTAGCCCGGCCCCTCTCTGGAGACGATGCGGAGCCGGGCCGCACCTGCCAGCTCCAGCCAGCAGGGGGAGACCTCGTCCACCTAAAAGCTTCGCCTTCCACAAGTCCTAGGTCTGGGCTCGAGCCAGATGGGGAGGTGGAGATGGGTAGGGAGTGTAGGACACAAGGAATCTTACAGGCCTGGGTATTCTGAGGCCACCAGGAAGCCACCTACACTAAATCCGCCCCGACTCTACTATCCTAGACAGGAGAGCTCTTCCTCCTCTGTCTCCAAAAGACACAGAGGAGACTGGGAAACTGGCCTGGCAACTTCCTTTCTCTGCTAGGTCAGTAATCTAGGACGCGTAGACACGCAGGAGCCTGTGTGGCACCCAATTAGGAAGAGTCAGAGGCCTTGAACTTCTGCGGGTAAGATCTGCCCTGCGAAGCCAGTACGCAAGGTCCGACGTGAGCTAAGTGACAAGTAGCTGGGGACGTTTGACCAGCAGAGGGCGCTGTGCTCCCTGGCCTTTGCTTCTTCGGCGCTCTGCGTGGACCTCTGGGCTCACCAAGACCTGTGCACATGTAAACCCAGCACGCAAGCCTTGCACATCTCCGAGGACTTGCACATTGACTGGTCTTCAGCTGTCCCCGAGGGTCTGCGTCTTTTCGATATGTGCATCTCCTTCCCTCAGCATAGAAGGGCTCAGCTGTGTGTGTGCAGAGCCATGCACTGGATCCTTTTCCTCTTCACTCTCTCAGCAATTCTGGTAGTAGACCGAGGAGCCTAGCTCCGGCACACGTGTCTTACACCAGCACACACACAGCTCTGACCTAAAGACTGAACCCTGAAAGAGCCTTGTAAGACACTAGCCCTCTGCACCCCCACCCCCACCTCCTCTTCTTGATCTCCTCCCCTCAGGGACTGATTTCAACATGGAGACATGGAGGACAGGGGCTTACAGTGGCCAGTGACAGATGGTTGACTGACTTGATGGATGGACAGGAAGAGGGATGATTGAGGAGATCAGCTTCCCTCTGAACCTCAGCCTCCTCACCCATCAATTCTGTCCTCCTTAACCTTTCCAAGTATCCTGGGGATTAGTGCGATGACACAAAGAAAGAATCCCTCCCCTTTCAGTCATGTTTTTTCACTCCTTTCTCTTCTCTCTCAGTACTCTCTTACTTCCCTCCATCCTTTTCCTCTAGACTGACTTCAGTCAGGGATCTCACTGCCTGTGTCTTACGACAGAACACACACACACACACACACACACACACACACACACACACACAGCCCTACATCTCAGCCAGTCTAGGCACCTCTGGGAGGTAGGAGCAGCACAGGGCCTGACAAGCAGCAGTGGGCAGTCAGGTGTAGAGCTTTGGAGCTAGTGAATTCCCAGGCTTGGCACTAGAGCTCAGGACTGGCTAGGCTGGGAAAGATGCTGGCGGGGACAGGCCAGGGCTGTTCACCTGGTTTTAGGGAGTGAAGGACCTTGTCCCAGGCCAGGCAGAGCCCTAGGTTAGCTGAGACAGGACTGTTCCTCCCTGTCATCCTCTCAGAGTGGGAGCTGCAGGGGCCACTTGTCCTGAAGTGCTCTCAGCACTCAGGGTCCCTCCCTCCTCGACCTGTCCCCAGAGCAGGTCCCTGAAAGAAGAAAAAGAAGGACAAGTCTAACAAAGTTTTTCTGAGTCTTCTGACTGAGAGGGTCTCCCTAACATATCAGCACATCCACTCCTGACAGAATCAAAGAAGTGAAAATTGTTCCATGTTACACATGGGGAAGAAATTCTGGTGGTTTAATGGTAAGGGGTTACTGCTGCTTGGTGCATATATTCAAATAACAGTCATATTAGCAGGTCTTCCTTGAATGCATATGGATAATCCACTGAAGAGCAATGAGGTCAGTTTGAGTACTAAGATCATGGTCTTTTTAGGTACTTGTTACGCATCTGAAAGCTGGACAATGAATAAGGATGCAGAAGAATTGGTGCTTTTTTTAAAAAAAATGTATTTATTTTATGTGTGTACCGTCAAATTGGATCTGACTGGTACAGGAGGTGATTGTTCCTCCCTCTTCAGCAGAACATCTGGTGAATTTGAACCGCTCACCTCTGGGATTGCAGTACAGTTTCCTGCCACTAGGCCACCAGAGCTCGCCAGAATTGGTGCTTTTGAACTGTGCATTGGAGAAGAGTCCCATGAACTGTCAAAAGAATAAACAAATAAGTCTTGGAAAAGGTGCAGCCAGAGTGCTCCTTGGAGACAATGATGATAAAGCTTCTTCTCACTTACTTTGGGCATATTACTAAGGGGAGGCTATTCCTTGGAGAGGGACATCATGTGTGGAAAGGTGGAGGGAGAGCAAAGGAGAGGAAGACCTTCAAGCAGATGGACTGACTGCAGCCATGGGCTCTGTGTGTCAGACTGTGAGGATGGCACATGACAGGGCAGGGTTCAGATCTGTTGTTCACAGGGTCCCTGTGAGTCACACTCAGTGGCACCTAACAACAACTGCTGCTTGATTCCTGTTTCACATATGCAGAAACGAAGCTTGTGAAGATGTAGAAACCAGTCCAAAAGTAAACATCTACGTGGGAGTCCTGTCTGATCGTGATTAGAAGGCTGGGTCTAACCCCAGCTCAAATGAGAGGAGGGGGAGGGAGGTGCTTTGGAGGTGTCCTGGGACAGCCTGAGGCAGGGAGTATCACCCCCTGTATGGCTGCATTTTTCCTTCACTGGGTCTCTGTTGAATGGTTCCTCTATTTCAAGCATGGGAGAGACAGGCCAAAACTACCTCCCAACTTTGCTGAAGCCTGCCCTGATTTTACTAGAGGAAACAGGACAGGTTTCAGAGAATTGGGCTAAAGTCAAGTCTTCAAAGAGAAGGAGGAAAGGCATGCCAGACTCCATGAGCACAGGACTCTGAATCTCATTTTGGGGACCTGTAAATATTTAGCCTAGCAGAAGTAAGGAGGGGCAGGGTGAGCAGTGAAAGGAAGCCATCCTTGCCTGTTAGACGTGAACATTTCCACTTGATTCTGAGGTAGTAAGTAGCCATTGAAGGGTTTTGAACAAAGTGATTAGTAGTGGAGAGGAGAGTGGTGTGGAGGGCTGAGGGTGGCCTGGGGAGATAGTAAGGGTTGAGCTGGAAAAGAAAAAGAGATGTGAGATATGAGAAAGATCAGCCAGGAACCAGGCCCCCATAGGGTGTTGGCTGAGGAAGGAGAGCATGCCTGAATGGCTCCTAGGTCCTAGCCAGGGGAGAGGGATTAGGCAGGCTGACTGGACAGTGAAGGGCCCAGTGGAGGAGGATGTGTGGCTCTGGAGTTGAGAAGTTTAGGCTTGACACAGTCTTGTATGTAGACAGTGTATAGAGACCACGGATGCATGTGGCTGCTCAGGCCTCTTGGGAGAAACGCAAAGAACAGAGGGTCAGGAGGAGATGGCGCCAATCTTTAAGAGTAAGCAAGAGGGGTGAGCAGGAGACTGAGAAGAAACTCTCAGAAATAGGAGGGTCAGGAAATAATGGTACCTCCTTAACCAGGAAAGGAGAGGCCTTCAGGGAAGGGGAAGAGTACAGCAGTGTCACAGGCCACAGTGGGTCAAGAGAGGCAGAAGAGATCAGAGGTGGCCTTTGGCAGAGCAATTCCATTGGCTGCCAGTGGAAGGAAGCCCAATTGCAGTGGATAAGGACTAGAACCTCTGTCCATATGACTCCAGGCCCACAATTGTGCAACCGCTCCACGATTACCCAGGCATGAGGAACCAGAGGCAGGGAGAAGTGAAAACCAAGACAGAGACCAGGAAGGGCCGACCATGGAGGGCTGGCCTTGGCCATGGGAGAAGGGTTGCCTCTCTTATTTGAGGTCAGAGGCCAGCTGGTGAGGCATGAGCAGCTAGTATAAGTTTGCACCTAAGGAGACGGGCTGGGAAGAAGTCCTGCCTGGTGGCTTTCTAAATGGCATAAGAGGCAAGCCAAAGCGCAGAGAAAGAAGTCCCCATGGGTGGGCATTTGAAGAGCAAGGGGAAAGATTGAAGCAGGCCTTAGAAGATGGGAGTGAGGCCACAAGGCAAAGCCTGAGGAGTGCGGAGCGGGCCGGAACCCTACTGAGGGCAGAGAGCATGGGTCCTTCATGGTGACAGTCTGCACGGCTGGGCAGTTCCCTCCAGCAGTGCTCAGCAGCATGGACCAGATTAGGGCTGAGTGAGGGACATGGAGGAGGAGCAGGGCAAGAACAGGAGGCTGGAACAGTGGGGATACTAGCAAGAATGAGCTTGAGGTGAAACGCTGAGGGGGGGTGATCTCAGACAGGGCGGGATGCAGCCAGCAAGCCACAAGAGAAAGGAGATGAGAGAGGAAGGTGCAGAGTGGATGGACAGAGCCTGTGGTCAGAGCTGGGATGCACTGCTTGAAAATTTCAGAGAACTCAGTGGGAGAAGGGTGTGTGAGCTCTTATTCAACTCACGCTCCACCAAATTTCTGAGGCTGTAAATTTTAGGACAGGAGATTGCCGTCTTTCTCCTATGGAGCCTCTGGATTCAAAGTACCAGAGAGGCGACATCTTTGTGTTAGCAGCACAAGCCCCTAGAATGATGCCACCACAAGAACTAAACTAGTATGAGCACAGCCAGCTGAAACGAAGCACGTGTGGCAGTCACCCAACTCCTGGACATCAAGAAGCTTTCACTCACTCGACAAATATGTGAGAACTTTGTTGTTGTTTGATGCCATCAACTCTATTATTCTGGCTCAGGTGACTCCATGTATGGAACCCCACAGGATAGACCTGTGCTACACAGGATGTTCAGGTCTGTGGTCCTTCAGAAGCTGACTGCCCGGCCTGTCTTCTGATGGACCTCTGTGTGGGTTCAAACCACCAATCTTTCCACTGATAGTCAAGTTCTTAACTGTTTGTGCCAGCCACAAGCCCTGTGCAGGTACCTATTAGAGAGAGGAAAGAACAAAACTCAGTCCCTGCCTCTCAGCACCTCACCACTTTGTTAGGGGGATATTAACATGAGGACAGTGCCTTGTGATGGTTGTTGTTGTTACTATAGACCGTATGAACAACAGATCGGAACCTTAGCCTATCCTGTATCATCCCCATAATCTCAGGCACACATGAGTCCATTGCTACAGTCACTCCACCTGGTTAAGGATCTTCCTCTCCTTTACTGTCCCCCTACTTTTCCAAGCATGACAGCCTTTTCCAAGAAATAACCTCTCCTGGCAACATGCCCAAGATATATGAGACGCTTTATCATCTTTGCTTCCAAGGAGCACTGTGGCTATACTTTCTCCAAGTTATATCTGTTTGCTCTTTTGACAGTCCGTGAAATATTCAGCACTCTTCTCCAATGCCACAGTTCAATAGCATTTCTTCTTCTGTCATCCTTATTCCTTGTCCAGCTCTCAGATGCATAGCAAATGATTGAAAAGACTATGGTCTAAATCAGGCGCACCTTAGGCCCCAAACTAACATCATTGCTCCTCAATAATGTTAGCGGTAACCATAGGGCACAGAAATACCAGGTGTGGGAACTTAGGAGTACCCATCCCAGTTGATGAGGAGCAGGTGACATGGAATCTGAGCTTCAAGACTGGGGTTCTCCAAAAAGGAGAGAGAGCATCCTCCAAGGAGAGCCACACACAGAATGTTCCAGAAACACTTGCCCTTTGGTAAGCCAAGGGAAAAGGGCAAGGTGAAGAGTGAAGAGACATGAGGGGAGGAGCAGGTTCTGGTCCCAGGGGGTGTGGAGCTTGCAGTGGGGATGGGGAGGCTTTGAAGGGATTTTAGCAAGGGAGCAGCATGATCAGATTTGCATTTTAGAAAGATCAGTGGAGCTGCGGTGTGGAGAATTGATTAGAACGGAGCAAGAAAGCAGCCAGAGCTTGTGGAAGGCTGCAGGGCAGCAGGGCCGACAGGAGAGGGCAGGGGGAAGACACATTTAGGATTCCAAGTCAGCACGACTTGATGATTTCATTGGATGGGAAGGAGGAGGGAGAACAGGGTCAAGGATGCTCCTCCAGGGCCACCAGCTGAGCTGAAGAAAGCAGGAGGGATGAGTGCAGCAGCAGGGCATCTAGGACATGATTGTGAAACAGGTGTGTTTTGAGGAGCCTGTGGGACACAAAGGGACAGTAACTGACAGGTAGATATGCCCAAGGGCGAAGTCAGGGCACCAGTATGTGGTTAGGGGGTGAGTTAGAACAGCAGGGCAGATTTTTCATAGGGAGTGTTTCAGAGACTTTGACTCCTGGGAATTAACAGGGAGACCCTAAGGAATGGGGGCCTTGAAGCCAGCATGGCCACAAAAACGGTTAAGCTGCCCTGGGAGAAATGGATATTTTTGGCCTCTGTGTGGGAGGAGAGCAAAGAATTGGGGGGTCAGAAAGGGAGGTGGAAGCTGAGGGAAGACAGAAGTGGGTGAAGGGCAGTGGACATTCCCAGGCGGTGGTGGGGTTAGGGCTGTTTTAAGAACTGAAGTTCATACCGCCACTTGTATAAGCTGATGCCTTTTGAGTAGCTCCTTCCTCTTTCTCCTCTGCATCCCACAGACCCCCTGTGCTTATTCTATCACAGCACATTCTGTCCATGGGTTTTAGGTAGGAATGAAGGAGAGAGCCTCATTTCACATCTGGGTTTATGGAGCGCAGAATAGTGTCACATTCACAGGCAAAGCCTTGGGGCAAGGGACCCAGACCGAGAGCGGGAAGCCAGAGGAGCATGGGCTGTGGGGACTTGACATGGAGAAATGAGCACCCTGAGGCCCCCAGCCCATGGCCCCTTCTTTGCCTGCAGCCCTGGGGCTGGGACTGTGCCCATCCAGCCTTGGAGAATGGGGAGGTCCCAGTCCTGTGCTCAGGGACCAGCCCCCACCTTACCTGGCAGGTGAGCTCTGGATGGAGCAGGCATGTGAATGCCACTCCTCATACCGCCCCCACAGCTCCCTCCACCCGGATACACATAACCTATCTGCCAGCTCCTGTCAGTCTGACCAGCACATTCCTTGGGTAACAGATCAGCAGAGAAGGTGGCAAGAAGTGACCAGCCAGTGTCAGCCTGAGACCAGAGACACAGAGGCAGGCCTGGGAGCAGAGGGAGCCGGGGCCTCGGGCCACCATGCTGTTGTGCCGACTCTGGGCAGCCACCTTCAAGGCCCTGCTGGCTGAGTTCCTGGCCACCGGGCTGTACGTGTTCTTCGGCGTGGGCTCAGCTCTGCACTGGCCCTCGGCCCTCCCCTCCGTGCTGCAGATCGCCATCACCTTCAACCTGGCCACGGCCATGGCCGTGCAGGTCACATGGAAGCTCAGCGGAGCCCACGTCAACCCTGCCGTGACACTGGCCTTCCTCGTGGCTTCCCAGATCTCCCTGCCTCGAGCTGTGGCCTATGTGGCTGCCCAGCTTGCAGGGGCTACTGCGGGGGCTGCTCTGCTTTACGGGGTCACGCCGGGAGACGTCCGAGGGGCCCTTGGGACCAACGTGGTAGGTGCAGGCCAGGGGCACATGGCAGGTGCAAGGACAGGGGGTCCTGGCTGGGCTGGGAGGGAAGAGTCCAGGTGGAAGGACAGGGGGCCAGGCCCCAGGATGGCTCCTCCTGAACCTCAGAGGAATCCAAAATTTTTGCCTTAGTCCAGGTGAGAGGAATGGAATTGAGATGCAATGAACAGAGAAGTCATGCCAAGGGGATGGAGAGTAGGAAGACCAGGAATTTGAGAGTAGGAGCGGCCAAGGGAGGTCTGGGGTTGCCAGGGAGGGGAGTATGGGTTCCAGTGAGCACTTCATTTGTCTTCCCCAAGTCCAGTGTTCTGTTTCCTCTTATGCTCCTTCCTCCCATGTTCTTCATGTATTCCCAAAGCACCCTCAGACCTCACTCCTTGATTCCCTGTTACCACTTCCTCAGTTCCTTCTTCCCAACATCACCTCCAGTCCCCTCTCTATCCCCCACCCCCAACCCAGCCCTCGACATGCCTCCCAACTTCCCTGAGCCTGCGCCCCACTGAAGTGGGAGGGTTGCCAATTTGTTCAGCAGGGAGCAAGTGTGCAGGTCTGCCATGAACCCACTCAAGCTCAGAGGTGGTAGGGCATTACCCCCATAGCCAAGGAGATGAGGTCGTCACTGGCCAGCTGACAGAGCTGCATCTGTCCAGCGTGGCCCCTCTGCACAGGTCCGGAATGACGTCTCGGCCGGCCAGGCTGTGGCTGTGGAGCTGATCCTGACTCTGCAGCTGGTGCTGTGTGTCTTCGCTTCCACCGATAATCGTCAGGCACCAAGCTCCCCTGCTGTCATACTTGGGATCTCAGTGGGACTGGGCCATCTTGTTGGGGTAAGCTGTGGGGCTGTGAAGGCAGGCAGTGTCTCTACATCACCTGTGCCTTGGGGTTGAGGCTATGTGCCACCCTCAAGGTGTAGGACTTGTGCTGCCACCAAGGCTGGGGTCTGAGCAAGGCAGAGGGGACTATCCCTTCACAGGCTGGCTTTACACCCCAAACCTACACACATTCCTCAGATCTACTTCACTGGCTGCTCCATGAACCCTGCCCGCTCCTTTGGGCCCGCTGTCATCGTTGGCAAGTTCACAGTTCACTGGGTGAGCCATTCTGCCTCCTGTTGTTACTAGCAAGAGGCCTGCGTTGGGACAATAGGCTGTGGGTCTCACCAGCAGTTGGGTCCACAGAGACTTGGGGGAAAAGTCTTTCCCTTCACAGATCATCTGGGCCTCTGGGAGAGGTTTCCTTAAATGCAGATGACCAGGGTGCATCTTCTTCTGCCTGTATTTTCTTCCTTACCAGCGTCCACAGCTCTGGGGGCTGAGTGGATTGGTAAGAAATGGGCCAGACCAGCCACTGCAGCCTTGGCCCAGGCCTCAAGTCCCTGGCTGCTCCTTATGCACTTCTTCCAGCTGGACCACTTTCCAAGCTTGGAAAAAGACAAATAGACACACCCCAGCAGGACAGGAACAGCAATAGCTAGGACTCCTGACTGGTGGGGGAGGCAAGAGGGAAACGGCAGTAGAGGGCGAGGACCCAGGCACAGCTTCCTTGCTCACCCCTGTCCTTAGTAGATGCAGTGCCCCAAACTTGCACCCATTCAGCACTCAGGGCTCCCAGGTTTATCACCTTGTAGACAGCTTGAGGATTATGGAGAGACTGAGCCAACATTAGGGGAGCAGGCAGAGGCCTCAAAGGCAACCCTGGTTCTGACAGCTCACTAATCCTTCTGTCTCCTCAGATCTTCTGGGTGGGACCATTGACAGGGGCTGTCCTGGCTTCGCTGATCTACAACTTCATCCTGTTCCCTGACACAAAGACCTTGGCCCAGCGACTGGCCATTCTCACGGGCACTGCGGAAGAGGAGAACATGATGGAGGTAGACAGCCAGAAGGAGTCCCAGTCTAGTCCCGAGGACACAGAGATGGAGAGTGTGTCAGATGGCATGGGCTCTGGTCCTTGGACTTCAGAAAGGTGCCCTGGAGGTAGGTAGCAAGCCTTGACTGGAGCTTTTCCTGGTGGGCTTTGTAAGGGGAGATGGAGATGCTTAGCCTCTTGTCCACACAACGTGGGCAGGGACACTATTTCCTGTCCCTAGCATTCCATTTCTAGACTTAGGGGATGAATCTGTCCAGCTTCCTCCCACCTTTGTCAGCAGAATCAAGCAGAGGGAGGAAAGGGGAATCCATGGGTGCCCTACTTTCACCTATGTGGACCCCAGTGAATCCTGGAGAAAGGGGAGTTGAAGCCCAGCCAGCCACTCTGCTTAGAAACTGAGGCCAATAGAGACCTCAGGGAACCCTATCTCCTAGCCTCAACTTTGAGGAGAAGCAGCCAACCCTTAAGAATTCAGTCCTGAGACAGCCTACGAGCTTCTCAGGAAAGATTTTTCTATTCCTGGGTGTGGTTTGAGGGGTCATGGATGCCTTTTCAGACTAGGCCCTTCTTGAGGACAGGTTGTTTTCTTCTCAGTAGATCTTCATTGCTCAACCCTCCAAATGCTTTTGGAAAGAGCTAACACAGAGGGAAGCCTATGGGGTTGAGAGAGGGGCAGACATGGACAAGGGACTGTTAGGTCCAAGACACGCTCTTCCCTGGTATTTGTCCTATCTCTTCCTCCTAGGCACATTTACAGGAACTTTTTTGAGAAAGGAAGTCCCTATCACATTCCTGGGCCAGAAACAGCTTTCTCCAGCCCCAGATGCTCAGCTCAATTGGGATCCCAAAAAAGCTGCCGAATAAGTCCCAAGGAGGGTTATGAACCCTAGGAATGACCTAGGATGTGAAGTCCAGTGTGACTGACTTCCTTTATTACTGTCCGTAGAATCCAGTGTGCTGAAAGACTAATGGAGCCTTAATCAGTCTGTTAATATTTAAAAACTGCCATAAATCTACTGTGTTCATGGCTTGGGGGTCTAATCTGGATCTTGGCTTCTCCAACTGCAAAACGGGTACCACTCTCTTCCAGAATCTACTATGAAAACAACAGATTGCAAAACGTTTTTGGAAGTTAAAATGTTAGAAAAACAAACCTGAATAAATCATGATTATTGTTGCTGTTACTGTAATTATTAGGTTTGAATACAATTGCTGTTGGTAATGGGTGGTGGGGAGACAGGAAAGGAGAAAGGGAGAGGAAGAGCAGGGTGGGGAAATGAGTCGCTTTCTCTCTCATTTCCTTGGCTTCTCCTACTGGGGGCCCCATCTCCTCTTTTTCCTGTGTCTACTGACCTGGGAGCTTCGTGGGTGTGGAGCATGGGGGCTGGGGAGGAGCTTTGGAATAAAGAGACATGCCTATAAAAGTCATTTCTTTTCATCTCTATGGTGCCCATCACCATGGTACCCTGAAATGCTGCAGCCAAATCCATAATATAGATAGGTCCCTTCCCAGGATGTTTCCCAAGGGGTTGGGGACGGGGGAGGGGCTTCCAGAGTCTTCCAAAGGCTGGGTAAGGGAGGCCGTTCTGTGGCTGGTGCAACAGCTGAGCTCGGGGCTCAGCCCAAAGCCGTGCTCAGCTTTCTATATTATTGTTGGTACAAACTACTGCACCCATCTCTCCAAGCTGCGCCCTACTCATCTATCGTCACAATCTTTCAGAGGCAAGGCTTTCTGTGCCCTTTTCCAAACAAGGATGTGTGTGTGTGTGTGTGTGTGGGTGTGTGTGTGTGTGTGTGTGTGTGTGTGTGTGAGTATGCGTGTACACACAGATGTGACTGACTTGCTAAAGGTCACCCAGCTCAGTGCCACAGCCCCCTAAGGTTTCCCCAGCTTCCAGTTCAGAATTTCCCAAAACAGAGCTCCAAGGGGCTTCCTGCTCCTGCTTGTTGCAGCCAGGAGAAGAAAGGGAGTAGAAACTGAAGGGCTGAAGGGGACAGAGCCTGCAGTAGGTTTTCGAGCTCTTGACAAATGGTGCCTGCACATCCCCAGAACCAAGCACACACTGGGTGCTCAATACAAGTTTGATGAATGAATGAGGCTGGGTGACTAGGAAGGCTGAGGGAGGGAAAGCTGGCATTGATCAAGAGGAGAAAAATTCAGGAGGCAGGGGTACCAAGGGGAAGAAGCTCCTGTGGAGCCTGGCTCCATAGTGGGTCATGTAACTTCTGCCTCAGGCCTGCAAAGGCCAGAGGGCAATGGTAACCAGCTGGCGAGAAAGCTGAGGGCTTCTTCAGTTCTTACAGCTGTTTGCCTTCAGCAGACTAGTGCCAGGAGATACAAGCTTCCTGAGAAATGAGGAATTAGGTTAGAATCTGGAGAGCATTGAAGGTTAGTTGCAGGAATAAGTAACCCAAGGTCAGCCTCTCCTTCCCTGGAACCCTTTAATAGGACAGTCTACCATCTGTTTGCATGAGGAAGGGCTGGCCTTTGAGGAGTCAAATCTCAGCACTTCCCAGCCTGGGGGAGCAAGCTTCATCCTAGTCCTCAGAGTCTGGGTGAGGGGAGGACAAAGACTCAGGCTGGCTGACCCTGGGTATACATTCCCTTCCTCCCATTTGTCAGGGGAAGTTTTTAATTAATGGTGTGTAATCTGATCTGGCCCTTCTCCCTGCTGAGCACTGCCTTCAATCAGTGGAGCCATCTGCAATTGCAATTCATAATTCTCCAGAAAGGGAGGGGGGCCTTGGGACCGGTGCCTTGGTGATTAATACAATTAGCCTTTTATGTTGATGATTGTCTTAGCGGGAGCAGATGAGGCAGAACTCAGGGTACTTCCCAACTGGTTGGCTTGGAGCCCTCTCTGCTCACCACCCCCATTGCACTTCTCTGACCTGCCACTATCAGGTCTAAGGAGGGTGGACATGATCTGGAACCACACTATGCAAAGGGGAACCCAGGAAGGGGATGAGCTTTTAGCATACTACAGGGGAGTCCTAGGACTTACGGAAAAGGTCAAGATAATGATCCAGAGACTTCATTTTCCAAATAAAGTCACTTTGACCTAAAAGATCCTGTGTACCCAAAGGGAAAGAGATGAGAGTGAGCTAGATTATATAAAGATAGCATAGGGATTGGAAGTTTAAAAATAGGCTCAACCACTCACAACTACACGAACTTAACCAAGTTACTTAAGAAGACAGAGACTTTTCTTTCCTCATCTGGAAAATGGGAATACTAATACACATTTCATAGGAATAAGGAGCTCTGGAAGCAGAGTGTTATGTCTCTGTATGTCAGAGTGTTAACCAAAATGGTCAGCAGTTCAAATTCACCAGTTGCTCTAAAGATTGGGCAGTCTCCGCTTGTCAAGATTTCCAGCCTCAGCAACCCAGTGGAGGGTTACTATAAATTAATTAGCACCTAGTCAACAGCGGTGAAATTTTGGTTTGGTTTCATAAGGATGTCAGTAGAACTACAGGAGACATGTGTAGTTCCATCCGTGGTAGCTATTTTTGCCATCGTGGTAGACTACCATTCCTTCTGCCAATGAGTGCAGCTGCCTCCTCTGCAGTTTCTAACGAGACCCAGGCTGTTACTAAAGGGGCCATCTTGATCACACCCTTCCCAGTGCTTGAGCCAAGGGGTGCTAGGGCCTGGCGGGGGAATCCCAGAGGGAAATGAAGTCAAGAATCAAACCCAAGAAAGAGGAAAGTGAGCATTCTTAGATCATAGCACATAAGAGTTGATCAGGGAGGGATTCAGGGAATGAAGGCAGGATGTTGGGTGGGGAGAGAAAGGGGTGGAAAGAAGCAGGACAATGGGAATTTGGAATTTCCTATGTAAACTATGTAAACAAAAAGGAAGTAACCACCAGAGGGGAAGATTTAATAGCACTGGCATTGCCCGAGGATCGATCTCTAACCAGGGCAGATGGTCTGAACACTCTAATGGAGGTTTTAAATGGTTGTCCAGTGGCAATGATACCACCCCATCCTGCTGGGCAGCAGTGCTCTTGTCCTTGAACTGCAGCAGTTTCAGCATGTTCAGAAGACAGGTTTGAGAAGGGAAAAAAAGCTTAGTATCAACAGTGATTTTAACCTATAGCTTAATGACAGGCCCCAGTGAAGTCAGGAAAACAGGGAGGGACGAAGTTAAGGGCTACCCACGATGAAGCATCCGGCTAAGCTGTGGTGATTCTGGGCAGTTGTGGCAGGGGGTCAGCACAGCCAAGATGTATAATCACTTCCTGGGGAGAGACAACCACACTGAGCAGTTACATAGTTAGCAAAAGGGAAGGGGAGGCATGATTAGTAAAGGGGGTTTATGAGTAGGGGGTCTTGTAGTATTAATAGGCTGTAGTTAATGAGCAGAAAGGGGGGAAATGAAAAGCAACATTCTGACCAAGTTAGAGAAAGAAACAGCTATTGTCAGGGCTGGAGGTGGAAAAGGAGAGACAGAGACAGGGTGTAATAATTTGCACCTACCCTGGGGGCAGATGGAACAAGGGCCAGACAGGTCAGGGCCCAGCCTGACTCAGAGAAGAGGCCAGGACAATCATCAATTCAGTTCTGGAACAACAGGCTGGACTCCTCGGCCTGGGACAGCTCAAGTCATCTCCCTAAGCCCTTCCTCCTCCGAGCCCACAGAACTCTGCACCCACCTAACACTGAACACATAATGCCTTGCTCTACCGGAACAGGCAGCAGGTTCCTCAACTTTACTAGCTGTCCTGTGAGGTGAGACCCCCTTTGTTAGTCCCTATACTATGTACTTCTATTTTCAAGGAAGAATGCTCCACTCCCATTGCAGCCAAACCCTCCTCCCCAATCTCTGGTATTGTGGATTTGATGGACAAATTGGATAAAGGATTGCAATACTTTCCCAACCACCTGCCCAAACAAAATGTCTAACACCTCTAATCTTTTTGTTGTTAAAGCACCCTGAATGTGTTCCAGCACGGTACTGTAATTTCAGAACTCCACCATGATCCATTGTTTCAGTCATAGCATCACTGACTCACAATGTTTTGTTTTCCTTCCCTCCTTCAGGGGTCACATATAATGGCTGTTGAGGTCATGCCTGGGACAGATGTGATCCTATTCTACACTACTTGTCTGCAGTTTTGTGCCAGAGCTTTTGGCTAAAGTCTCCGTCCCTCTACTTTTCCAGCAGGCACTGCAGCTCCCCGGAGAGCTGGGGATCTCTCTGTTCTAGTACTTTTGACCACAGCAGAGTATCCCAGGCCTCCACTCTGGTCTAACTCTCACGGTCCTAACAAGAATAGTAAGCACTCCCAACAATGATTATAATATGCATTATCATTTTAAGAGTCATGAAGAAAAACAATGTGTCAAAACAATAGTGATAAGGTACCCAAATCTTAGAGATATTAAAAAGCACACAGTAAGGACGCTCTGGTGACCTAGTGGCAAGAAGCTGCACTGCAATCCCCGAGGTACGCAGTTTGAATCCACCAGATGCTTTGCTGGAGAAGGATGGGCAATCTACTCCTGTACCAGTCAGATCTGATTTGCCAGTACACACACAAAAAATTAAAAAAAAAAAATTAAAATAAAATAAAGTGCACAATGGAATCTGTGAGAACAGGAATTCAACAAGCCTGCCTGATTTTTCCAGGTCTCAATTTTCTACTTTTGGCAGAATTCAACTTTTCTACTGCACTATTTAGTGATAAATATTTGCTTTTTTTCTTCTTTCAATGGCTTAACTGCATTTTTAAAAGTATTTCTTACAGTCAATGTAATGACCATTTCTCTCTCAAATCTAGACTGTTTTAATCAAATTTAAGTACTGGAAGATTTCAAGTCTCCTCATTCTAAAGGAAGTAGATACCTTTGCCCTCAAATGCTCTCAACTTCCGGATCCCTATTGCTACTCCAGCTTCTAAGCAGCGTGGCACCATCATGGTAAACATCAAAGAGCATCCACTGACTGGAAGGCTATCGCA